ATATATGCTAGGCACTGTTCTAAGCACTTCAAACACATTATCACACTATCTGATCTTCCTAACAAGCTCTTAGATCCAGACTATTATCCCTCATTTTGCACAGAAGAAAACTGAGGGGCTCAGAGAAGTTAAGTGAGTTGCTTATGGTCACACAGCTAGGGAGTGGCAGAGCTGGGACTGAAACCAGAGGCCTTTGACCATCTGTGTGGGCGCGCATGTGCTTGTGCATGTGCGTGTGCGTGTGTGTGTGTGTGTCGGCGATTTCTGAGAGGCTATGCAAGGCAGTGATTCTGGATGAGTGCTGCGGGGAATCTGCCTTAACTAGGAGCGAGGCTGGAGGGGGGGCTCAGGGGCAGAGGGTCCCTCACTGGTCTCTTTCCTTCCCCAGAGGCTCAGATCATTCAACCGGACTGGCTCTCCAAGCGTCAGCATCCAGGCAAAAGGGAGGGGGAGGCGGAAGAAGGAGTTGAAGAGGAGGAGGAAGAAGGTGGCGCTGTGGGCCCCCACAAACGGCAGCACCCTGGCCGGCGGGAGGATGTGGTCGCATGGTCCGATGTAGCCCAGCAGAAGCGGCAGCATCCTGGCCGGCGCTCCTCCTGGCTGGGGTACACTTTAACCAAGAGGCAGCACCCAGGCAGACGGCTGGTGGATTCCAAGGCCCAGAGGAGCTGGGAGGCAAAGGAGGAGGAAGAGGAGGAGGAGGAGGGAGAGCCGATGCCCGAGAAACGCCAGCATCCGGGCAAGAGGGCCCTGGGAGGCCCGTGTGGGTCCGGGGGAGCCTGTGGTCAAGCCAGCCTGCTGCTGGGGCTCGTGGATGACCTGAGCAGGAGTCAGGGGGCCGAGGAGAAGCGGCAGCATCCTGGGCGGCGGGCATCCTGGGCCAGGGAGCCGCTGGAGGAGTGAACCCATTTTCCTATGAAGTTTAGAGTCTAAGAATGTCTTAAGCCCTGTGGGCCCTATCCCTTTGTGATGTCCTCTTTCCCTCCTCCTTAGATCCCTGACCATACACCTGAGGCTCCCCCCCCCCATATACAACACCCAAGTCCCTGGCCTTGTCCCCCTCCCCCTTCAGGGACATGAGAAAGCGAGCCTCTGAGTTAAAACCCCATATTACCCCGCTTTCCACTGTTGGCAAGGGGGCAGATCCCAGAGTCCCTCTCCCTGCACCCCCTCAGGCTGCTCCCCTTCCTTAGCTCTGGCTCAAATGATCCTTCTGTGTCCTCTGAGCGATCCCCAGAGAGAAGCAGGGTGACTACGGATCCAGCAGCCAGTGAGGTCAGGGTGGGATTGAAGATGTGATGTCCAAATCCAGTTTCTATCCTCCCTTTCTTGGGCGTCCTTTTGTGGGTAGGCAGAGCCCCGCCCCATGGCTGTGCTCTGCTTGGACAAAGCTTTGCAGGGAGGGGCATCCCGTGGTGTGCTGTGTGGTGGCTGTGGGAATAAATATGTGCAGGCGTATGGAAACAGCCCTGAAAACTGAACTTGTATATAACCTTCTAGCATCTTCCCCCTGTCCATGATAATCATCCGGATGATAATAAAACATGCATCTGCATAATCTTGGAGCTCTGTGGTTGCAGTTTTGTCTCAGCTGGTGTGGGGTTTCTCCTTTTAACATTGAGTGGGACAAGATTAGAGCTCCCCGATTCTATTAAGAAAGGGCATCAAGGCCTCTGGGATTGTAATCGTCATGGTTCGATGGCAGGAATCAACAGCCCGTGTCATTCAGCAGCCACAATGAGAACAAAGGACCAGGCTGTCGTTGGGGACTCAAACTAGGGGCCTTCTGGGCCTGTGCAGGGAGGCAAGATGGGTGTAGGACAAGAGGGAGTGGTGGGGACTAAGGCAAAATGAAGAGGCCGGCTAAGTGAAAACACTTAAATCCAAAAACATTGTGTGAATCAAATAACAATAACAACAATGTATTAACAACATTTATTATGTGTCAGGCACTGTCCTGAGCACTTCACATATAACCTTTTTATTTTTTTTAAAGATTTTATTTTTTTAAGTAATCTCTACACCCAACATGGGGCTCAAACAACCCCAAGACCAAGAGTCACAAGCCCCACTGACAGCCAGCTGGATGTCCCTATATTAATTCTTTTAATCTTCACAGCGGTCCTTCTAGGTATTACTATTATTATGCCCATTTTCCTAATAAGGAAACCAAGGTACAGAAAAGTTAAGTAACTTGTCTGAGGCTGAATTTGACCTACTCACTGCCAGTTTGCAACCTCTGATTTAGACTGAACTTCCCAATTTCCTCAGGCCTTAGACTCCAAATTAGGCCACCATTTGTTTGGTGGCTGGATGAGCTATTCGTTTTTTCTGCAGACAGCTTTTGGTCACCCTCTTGGGCAGTGGAAGAAGGGGGCTAGAAGGGTGTCTGAGCCCCAGCTCCTCCCCTCGGGGAGCTTGCGGTTCAGGTGTGGTCAGGACAGAGGGAGACTTGGGCTTTGTAAGATGTACTTACACCCATATTTTCAATATTACTCCCCCAAGCCCTCTGAAATATTAAGCATTTGATGGATTTGCTGATTTTTCTCACTTTCAGATGAGAGAACCAACACAGAGACCAGGGTACCGCCCCCGGATGCATGAAGTGTGTAGGGCTGGCATTCCTCCTCACCTGACTTTCCACTCCACTCGGCCATCTAAAACACCCGTTGTTGCCATCAGGGCAAGTGGGGCCCTAATAACGTTCCCTCTGCTCACAGTCCCCCTCCGGAGGTGAGTGCCCTAACAGAGTCAATATGGACCATTTATGCAGTCCTTCCTTGGTGCTCAGTGCTTATAGACACTTTCTCAGTGAATCCCATGACCGCCCCAGGCCAGCTGCCATGTCCATTTACAGTTGAAAAAAGTTGAGTTGCAGTTGAGCATGGTTAAGAGAAGCACTTGACCAAGGATATACTCCACCTTCTCTTGCTTCCAAACTTGATTGATGTGCGGGATGTTGTTACCTCCTCAGATAGGGCAAGACTTGAAGAGTGTGAGAAAACCACCCTCCCAGCCACTTAAGGCTTTTCCCTCTGCTCCTGTGAGTGATCGTACCAATGCACCATGATGGAAAGGATCTGGGCGCATTGGCTTCAGCCCTGGACAAATGAATGAACTAGTTTGAGCCTCAGTCTTCTCATCTGTAATATGGGCCCAGCAATCCCTACCCCTCCCTCGGAGTTGTCCTAATGATTAAATGGGATGGAGTGATAATGTGTACAGTCCTAGCACAGTGCATGGCACCAAGCAGATCCTTGATAAATGGCATTTTGAGCTCTAGTGCCTCAGGACAAGAAGGGATTCAAAACTGAACCTTGTAGAACCACTTATTCTTTCCTTCCTTCATTCTCTAATCGCACATACAAAAAAGTTAAAAAACAAAACAAAACCCAAAAACCAGTCACTGGGGCTTTATTGTGAGTCCATGCCAGGAATTAGGGCTTTATCTTTAGGATAGTCTATGTGCTCCTCCCCCAAATACCCCCTTTCCTTCCCACTCTCACACATGTGCCTTTCACTCAGTCTAGGATGCTGTGGCAGAGATGCTTGGTGCGTTTCCCTAAATTTCCCAGCCTCCCTTGCACTTGGGGTAGAGTCACATGACTAGTCCTGGCCAATGGGCTGTGAGCAGACAGGTGTCACTCCCTAGCTGAGGCAGTTAGAGCCCATAAGCCTCCCTTGCCCTTTTCTTCCTGCCTTGGAAGCCTGAGAGGCCACATGTTGAGATGGCAGAATGCATGATGGAGGGATTCTGGACCCCAGAGTCACCAGATGGAAGTTAGACACTGTGCCCCCACATCAGACTTCTCATGTGTATTAAATCACTTGTATTGAGTGTATTAATACAAGCAAACTTGTATTAAGTCACTGAGATTTCAGGGTTTATTTGTTCCTCCAACAAACTTAGCCAATTCGGACTAACACAGATGCCTCCTCCCTGGGTCTCTCTCCACTGAAATCCTTCCCATCTTTCCCTTCTCATATGTATCTGCCTTCATCAGAGCTGTTTAGATCAGGGCCCAGCACGAAGTAGGTGGTCAATAAATATTAATTGAGTAGATGTGGAAAGCTTTAGGCCATTTCTATTTTAGTTCCCCAGCTTGACTTCCTGGGGGACCCTGCCCTTAAGGGGCTCCCTATCCAGTGGGGAGACAGACAAGCAAACATATGATGGCCACCCAGTGTGAGAAGTGTTGATTTTGGTGAGCAAAGCATGCAAGGAGAGCACAGACGAGGGGTCCTTGTGTGAAGCAGGCTTCCCGGAGGGGAAGTATCCACGCTGAGTCAAAGGATAAATAAAAGGAAAGACATTTCAGGCAGAAGAGAAGAGCATTAACAAAGGCCTAGTGGGAAGAAATAATGTGTTCTTGGAGTTGCTAACATTTGAAATCCGAGGTATTTTGGACCCTCCTTTTCCTCCCTCACCCTATCCTCTAGCCCTGAAGGGCATGTGCCTCATCCGGGCCTTGTGCCTTATCCAGTCCTCCCTCTCTCCCTGCCTTGGTCCAGTCCAGTCCCCACACAGGGACTCAGACTGTCATGGCTTAGATGTGTGAGGAAGCAGGGTGGTTTGGGGTGGAATCAGGGAAGCCTTCATGGGGGAAGGGGCACTTTAGAGCTTTGAAGGATGAAAGAAAAAAAAAATTTTTCCTGAGCACTTCCTCTTCGGCCAGACGTTAGGAAAAGGACTTTTATATGCACTGCTGGACACACAGTAGGTGATTTGTAAATATCTGTTGAACAAATGAATTACCCATCATAGTCATACCCCAGTTTAGAGAAAAGGAAACCAAGAGAGAAGTAAGGTGGCTTCTCTAAGTTCATGAGTCTGAAACTTGGGAGTTGTCTTTATGCTTCCCCTCCCCTATCACCCACATAGAATTTTTACCATGTTCTGTAGATTTTATCTCCTCAAATCCACCACTTCCTTCTAACTCCTGGGCCATGACTCGGACCCTGGCCACCATCATCCTTGGCCATCATCATCTGGAGACTTCAGTGGCCTCCTCACTAGTCTTTGGCTTCCACTCTTGTCTCCCAAACCTACTCTCCACACACAGCCAGAAGGACCTTCTCAAAGTGCAAATCTGATTTTGGCAACCACCTTGCTTAAGACCTATCAGTGGCTTTCATTTCACCTAGGATAAAATCTAAATTCCTTACCGCAGCCACAACGGCCTGCCCAGTTGGCCTCTATTGTGTTACCTGCACACAACTCAGGGCCTTTGTTCATGGTATTCCCTCTGTGTAGA